TGTATTTACGTGAAAAAAAAAAACAATCAAAAACGTCAAGTATACAAAAGGACAATGTGAGTTTCGTCTGTGAGTATTTTTAATATAATAGTAAAGTAATTTTATCATTAAAAGTCGTACTTTGTGAATATTATCGTCCAGTACCGAGTGTGGCCATCATAGTTCATAAAGTAAAAAATAATCTATTTTTAAATAAATATAATTTACTACAAAAGTTATATATATATATATATATTTAACGAAAATATATTTCCTAATAACTAAATCAGTTTGTGATGAATAATAATCATTACATACAGATGTGTAGTGGATTTTGTTAAATGATTTATATATTCAGCTCAATTTTAACATGATACCGAATATTATATAATTAAATATAATCAATAACTAGTATTTATTAAAATATTATACAAAATACAGGCCAAATAAGTCAAATGGAAACTTGCTACCTCGCAGCCAAAAGTGTGCAATTTTTATAAAAATAAACTGGTATCACTGCAACCGAAAGTATTGCACTATAGTGATGAACGCCGCAACTTTAGCTATCGATAAGTTAATTAACCATGCGGGTTTGTCTGCCGAACCGGTTTGTAGTTTTTATTTAGATTTTATAATAAAGTATTACAAAAAGTAGTAAATTTTTCTATTATTGGTTTGTTATTACAGATTTCCAAGAGATCCTCTTAGGCGGCACACTTGGATTGTAGCTTGTAGAAACCATGAATGTGACACTGCAGTAGTAACCTTGAATTTGTGAGAGGTAATGTTGGGCTGTAATTATATTCAGATTAAATGTTTTTATTATTACCTTTGACACCAATATTATTCTACTTGAAAATATTTTATTAAGTTTACAAAAGCATTAACCTTTCAAATTTAATTCATATATTTATATACCTATTATTGTAATTGTAAACGTAATGTAGTATAATTTTTGTACGCCATAAATGGAAAGTGTTCGTTTTAAGTTTTTTAACACTTGTATTTTATTATATATATATATATATATATATAGCTTGAATCTTCTGACTAAAATAAAATTATTTATTTTAGGGTGATCATGGTGATTGCACAATATTGTCTACATCGAAAAAAGAAAGCTGGATTTTCCGGCAAAATTCCATAAGTTATATCGAAAGTTTCAATTCTAAAAAAAAATATAGCCCGAACTAGTCCTATTCCCACTGCGAGTAAGAGCCAACATTTAGGCCAAGGAAAATTAAAATAAACAAATGCCTTGAAATAAAAAACAATAGCATAAACAGGCTTCACAAGTTTTCCAAGAAAAACTATGCCCTAACACTTTTTACTAACTATTACTCACCAAAAGCCTATCGCTATGTACGTAAAACTTTTCGAACATGTTTGCCTGCACCCGTACATTGACTAAGTGGTACACTATCATAGATCGCCGACCAGGGTTTACCCAAGAAGCGCTGACGGCATTAAAATTGAGAGTGGAGAGTAACCCTGATATTTTTTATTGTACCTTGGTAATGGATGAAATGAAAATTAAGCAATTGACAGAATACCATGCTATTAGCCAAAAGCATTATGTATATAACCAAAATGTCTTTTAGAACTTGCAATGACGGAGTACCATCCGTCAATTGTTTTATTTTCATTTCATCTATCACTAATATACAATATAATTTCTTGTCAAGGTTACTCTCTAGTTTAAGTTTTAAAACATTAACGCTTTTTTTGTGTAGCCAAGTCGGCCATAAATTGTACTGTACCACTTCGTTATAGTATGTGATGAAGGCAGACCAATTACAAAACTTTTGATATTTCGCACATATTGTTAAGCTTTCGGTGAATAGTAATGTAAAGTTAAAGCAAAACATCTTTCTGGGGAATACTTAGCCCTAGGTAGATGTCACGTTTTATTTTTAAGCAGCTGTCTGCTTAAAGTTCACTTTGTTAAACTATTATATAGTGTAAAACTTTTTTGTTTTCCTAATTTATTAAATATTTTCCAGACAGTTAATTTAATAACTTTTGAAAATCAACAACTATTTTTAATTAGCGGTTTTGTGATTGAAGCTTTATAATAAAAACAAAAACTTGGTTTACACCATCTAAGACGATAAACTGATAGGACTTTTCTTTTCAAAAAATCTGATTTTTAAAATAAGTTAACTCAACCTATTTCGATTTGTTAAATGTTTTTAATTTTATCCTGCATAATGTAAAATAAACCTGTAGCAAAATAATAAACTTATTTTCAATAATTTCTAAGTTGTTTTCCGAAGAACATTTCTAAATACTTTAAAAAAAGAATTTCAAATAACACCTTGGTATTTAATTTATCTATGTATTACTCATAATCAAATAAAAACTTATGCGGACTATGGTGATTTGTTTATCGATAAAAATACATCGATATATTCCACGCCTTACGTTGCTTACGCATTTAGACAGCGCCATCAGTGTATCGACACGTGTACAATTTGATGGTATGCGTAAACACGATGATCGCAAACACAAATGCTGTAGTGTGCGTTTATAGTGACGCGATTTAATTTTGTATTTGTAGTTAAGTATACAGTTGTGTGGTTTTCTTGCGCCCCCCTGATGTTGACAGAATTTTTGTTTAGGAATTAACGCGCATGGCCTCTCCAGTTGGATGAATACTCAAAGTTCACGGCACACCGCCTCGCGACCGGGCCGGGCTCCACCCGGGGCACGTCCACCGTACGCCGGCCGGGCCAGTCATTCTTGCTACGCCGCGCTGTTTGCGTGTATTATCCGAATGGACGTGTCTGTGATAGGAGTTCTTTTGTCAATTAGTGATTTCATCAGCCCACAGACGCTCATTACGCACGGTTAAAATAAGTACTTTTAAATATATTCTTTTTTACTTTTTTGAACTAAATTTATATTGTGTTTTTTTTTGGCGATTGTGGAAACAATACCCACCGACATTTCGATGCCGTGTCCCGGCCGGGGCCGGCCCGGTCACGACAGGTGTACCGCGAATCATCCTTATATCTGGCCTATACGGGTGGTAATAAAAATAGCATTAAAGTCATGAGATCTTGTTGGTGTTTACCTTTATCGCCTCTTAAGATATACACGGGAGCAAAAGGTATGAGTGGTTATTTTAGGTCACCTTTTTATGTAATAAAGCTATGCTGCAGCTTGATTTTGGTTGAAAATAATTTTATTATCTTACAATACATGTAGGTTATTCAGGATTTTTTATCATTGAAACTATAAATGTATGGTAATTAACGAGTTCTTCCGACAAACGATAATTTTCTATAAAGTCTGTGTTTACTAATACTCTAAATTCACTAAAGTTGCTAGCATGACGGAGACTCATATAAATCCAAAGAATATGCTTCTTACAATAAACTATATTATTGTTTAAAATATTTTTACTCGCACTATAGTCTCTAGTCGCACGCACGTGCCGAAATCTGCCGAACTGAAACGACGTTAGACGATGTTAGGTTTTTTCCTTACGGAATTTCTTGATTCGGTTTCCGTGCTCAAAGCCCGCGATAAAAGCTATGCAATAGCTTAAAAACTTCTGAATTCTATAAAAAAAATCTTGAACGGTTTTCAGTTATTGCCATAGTTAGCAGACAGATTCGTTATCCAATACTAGATGTCACGCGCATTTGAAGCTGCTCTTCAAAACATATCTGGCTGAATTTCATTCAGCTAATACGATACGGTTTTATAACCATCTATCAGAGGCCATACTATAGATTTCTGCATCTGGTTATGCCCTTAGTCGCCTCTTACGATATCTACCGTTACGGTATGCTAAAATGGCTTACATTAAATAAATACATTTTCATTTATATTTAATAATTATTACATAATAATTTATATTTAGCGTTCGTACAAGAATAACATGAAATAATTCCTCCTTCTCTCTTTCATTACCGGATAATTAGATGCTTGGCGTGTCTCCACTCCTTTGTTTACGACTTAAGACACATTCGAAACAAACGGTTTGCCATGTAGCTCGTAATGCGTACAACAAACAAGAAAATAATTATAGTCTGTCTTTGAATCCGATTAAAATGCGGTGTTTTAAGGCGGGAATGAATAACTTTCTACGAAGCTTATTATGTTTATGCTCTTTACCATCTTTTGCAAGGTTATCACTTATTAATACTGTCAGTTGTTTATAAAAATGATGGATGAAAATTAAACAACTAATATTCAAATCAATGATTTAATAAAATGACTTCAGGATTTAGCATGCTAGCAATTATGAAATTCTAGTAAATTAAAAGTTTAAGTTACAGCATATATACGTCCCACTGCTGGGCTCAGTCTTCTCCTAATTTCTGAGAGGGTTTTAGGGCAAGGAAGTGTCCGCCGCGCTGCCCCAATGCGTGTTGGCGAACTTCATATGTCTACGAAATATTTTTTTCCTTATTCCTCAGACATACAACTTTCCTCGTGATGTTTTCCTTCACCGCCGAACACGTGGTAAATCAGCACTTAAAATTGCAATTAACAAAATTGGTGCAGGCGAGGATCGAACCCGGATTACTTGCGTTCTGTTATATTTACAGCGAGCGTTAACCATCTGAGTTACCACGGTTCTATCTAAGGGCTCTATTAAATTAACTGGAATCGTATGTATATATGTAATGTATGTAAATAAATAGTATGTATTTCTTTTTAAATGTTTCCTATAATTTTCAATTTTTGTAATCAAGCACGACATTAACTACAGAAAAATAAAGATAGATATAGTTTTATCAGCTTATTTATTGAATTAAATAAGAAAAGCTAATCTAAGATTATTACATCGGATTAGAATTGATTAAAAATCCTATAGCAAAATAATCTTATGCTTACATTTGGCAAGCGTGTCATTTATTTGAGAGCTGAAGGAGCAATACATGAAAAATAAAACCAATACTTCAATTTTAACTAAAGCAATGTAATAATTCACAGATATTGACAGATTCTATAAATATATATTGCACAAGATTAAGTAGAAAAATACCATAAGAAGATTTTAAATTTTAATCACCAATATTAACTTTTACTTGCTCTAGTAGTTTTGATTTCGTTCTACTAATTTTTTTGTACTTTGGATTCGCTTTAACAGACCTTCTTACACTATTCCTTATCATAACTCTGTCGAAAATTTCCTCACTGGTGTCTTCACTACCATCATCTGAAAAATGATTGTTCATACTGTCATTCAGCTTCTTAGGTTTTATTATAACAGGTTCTATTAAACTATCCGATAAAACTGTATCATCAGAAATATTTCTTTCATCTTCACTTGTAGCTTTCTCATTACTTAACTGTGGAACTAAGAGCCTATTTTCTGAAAAGGGTACATTTAAGTGTTTCTTATTCTCTTCTTTCTTTTTATTAACTTCTCGATGGCCTGGCTTATATTTCATAGGGGAAAAATCAACTCTTCGAAGAAAACCTATGGGATCTGTGAATTTTCTGCTGCATTTTCTATTTGATTTAACTTCAGTTTTAGTTTCAACGGTTTTATTAGAAATATTGTCTTCGTTGTCTAAAGCTACTCCAGAGTCAGAGTTTGAATCCGTAATAGTTATGTCAGGCGCTGAAATGTTTGATTTTATTTTTTTATTTAGTTCTTCTATTATTTCCGCTTGTTTTCTTATAATTTCGTCTTTTTGGGAAAGTTGTATGGTGACTGCCTCCATTCGCATGGCTAAGTTTATTTCGTATTTTTGGAGTTCACTAGTTAAAAATTCAAGTTCATTTTTTCGATTTATTTCTAACTTTTTTATTATTTCTGATTGCTTAAGAAATGCTTCTTTCATTTTTATGATTTCTTGCTTATGTGTGGTTTCCAAAAACTGTATTATATTTAATGCTTCTTGTAAACTTTTCGGATGAATAATCTTTTCCTTGTTATCCACGGTCGCCATTTTGAATCTGGAACAAAGAAATAAAAAATTTAATTGGATAAATAAATATAATTAATATTTATATTAGATAAATAAATAAATATAATTTGCTAAAGAAATACAATTATATATCATATAAAGAACGTGAAGTTAATTTCATAAAGGAAAATTGTTAAATAAAACGCACTTTACAGGATTATTTTTCAAAGAGTAGCCAAATTTTAAACTTAAGATCAAATGTAAATGATGATATACCGTCATTGTAATAAAGTTTGTACTTTTAATTGAAATTATCCTATGATGAATGTATTAGGGGTAACAACGTTTTTGTCTACCAATTGACGTAGAGTCACGTTGCAGTTATATTATGGTTGTAGCACGAATGGGTCGGCTCGACAGGAGAAGGAGTACGCTCTCACAGAATACTAGCGTAAAATAGCAGCTTAATACTGCTGTGTTTCGTATGGTGAGTGTAGAGTATCGGAGACCCTTTTTTACCGGAAACGGGGTATTCCATGTTAGTTCTCAGGGGTGACCACGCATCTGTATTTTGTTTGTTAATGGAAGATAATGTATATGTCTTTGGGCGTACACTTACCATCAGCATCAGCACACATACACAGCATCCACTTACCATCAGGTGGACTGTGTGCTCGTTGGTCAGCCTTATTCTATAAAAAAATTTAAGGGTTGTCAGAACGGAAAGTATTAAAAAAAACTGATTCTATTTCACGTTTGAAGAAATTCCTGGGTACGTGTAAACTGATGAAATTTAAGTATTTGCGTGATAGGAACACTCTAGCGGACAGGAGCAATCGTGGGGTGCGGTGCGGGGCGAGACGAGGGCTGAGCGCTCCCGAGCGACCGTTAATCGCTCGGGAGCGCTCCACCTTCGTCTCGTCCCGCACTCCACTGCATGATTCCTCCGTTTAGACACCTTCGACGACCGACTGTTAGGAGTGATAAAATCAGTTAAATTATTACATACATTTTTAATTTAAAAGATAAAATGACAGAATGTGTGAGATTTTTTAATTAAAATTTCTTCCTCATCATTTTTCAATAATGATGTAATTATTATACAAATGCTTAAAATCATGTTGTTTTAAAATGTCAACACATGCATTTAATTATAATTAGAATTATTATAAAGATCAAGTATAGTGTAAAATAATTGCAAACAATAATTATTAAAAAAATGCTATTTAGTATAGCTAACTCATATGGCACAAGTTCGTTAAGCTAATTCGGTTTAATTTATTAATTAAAAATAATATCATGGGTAAATTATATCAGCAAAAAGTAAATTAAACTGCATCCAATACTTTGTATCGCTTAATTCAGATTTTAAATTATTTTTATATATTTTCCAGACCCTTTAAATTCACTGCTTTATTACTGTTTTTAACAAAAAAGGAATCCTACCTTTAAGTCTTTAAAGGCATTTCGATATATATAATTTTAATGCCAACTTCTCATGCAGGCGGTGTAATAAGCTACATAACGAAAGAGGCTCTGATAATCGATAGATGGCGGGATTATCAATAAAGAATGCGTTCCATTAAAAGTTTAATTGTAGTTGCTCTACGCTTATGAATTTGCCTGCACAAAGTGGTAAGTTAAGGAAAAATTTTATATGTTTTTTTTACACAAAAATCGGCAATGCATCTGCAATTCTCCTGGTGTTGCAGTTTTTCATGGGCGTCGGTAGTCACATATCATCAGGTGAGCTACATGCTCGTTATCCGTATGCATCTATGTTTATTTTTCTTCAATTTAAATTTTGAACTAGTTTTAAATCCCAGCCTTAATAATCCTAATACCGAGCGTGCATTTTATACCTTCTTGTTACCTTTATGTTTGGTAATAATTTTCTACTAACATAGTTAATAATAATAATAATAATACATCTAAAACACAAAATACTAATATTCCACGTAAATGTATATGAATTTTACAATTTTTGCCTCAATGAGTAGGTACATAAATTATACATCGAGATGTATGTTTCGTTTACTATAAGTCTTAAAATATTATTAATTTGTGTATATTAATATTTTATTTCTTATATAATTTTAATATGATTCATCAAAACTTGAATGAGATCTTTATTCATCAGCTCATTTAAATGGTGGCAGAATGAGACTGTTGTCGAAGTAAAATATAGGTATCACTGTCCGATAAACTGTCATTTTGACTTTAGATATTCATTACTCTATATTTGTAAAAGTAAAATCTTTTACGTCACGATATTTTGTTTTATTGTTTATTTTATTTATTTATTTATTTGCTTTTTAAGGGAAACATACAGTACAATAAAAATACATTATAAAACATATAAAAGTAATCCTAAAACCAATGAAGTTTCCACAGATATCTGACACATATCAAAAGCTTGCAACCACTATATGTTTAAAGATTTAATTAAAAAAATAACTAAATGGTATTTAAAATTAAACATTAAGTACGAATCAGTCAAAAGTAATACAATACATACAACCTATAGTGAAGCTACCAATTATAAATTAAGTTATACAATATTTTTTATAACTATTATATTTAAGATGAAAAATATCTAGTTCACAATATTTTAAGTTAAAATTTTTACATGTATGAGATACAAAATTATTTGAAGCATACTTCGTTTTTACTTAACGTAATGCAAAAAGAGGTCTATTTCGTGCACGCAAGATTCACTTTGCTTAAAAGTAGGGGGAGTCGATGATATTATGCAGCAATTTGTACAACATTTGATCTCTTATATATCACGGCGTTTTTAGAGTGTATTACTGTCTGAGCTATCAATAATGGAGTCTACAGAAGAATTATATCTCTTTAAGTGACGCTGAAACTTATTATTGATTGTTTCATGTATTGTATGTTAATATTGCCAATAAACAATCAATTACAAGAATAATTACAAAACCAATTAAAGATAATAAGTAAAAGTCGCAGCAATGATGTACTTAAGCGATAAAACAAGGAGTTTAAATTATATAATTAACTTGTCAGTGAGAAGTAATAAAAATTGTAATGGGTCCAATTTTCCCAAGTACAAATTATGACATATCTCCACTCCACGCGAGCGTGTTATGAATAAATGTATGCGTGTATATTAGTACCTAATTTTCATAATATTATATAATAAATAATAATAATAAACACTCACGCCTGTCACCCAGAGGGGTAGGCAGAGACTACAGACTTCCATTTGGCACGATCCTGACACACCTCTCTCGCCTCCTTCACATCCATACACCTACGCATACATGCTCGTCGGTTAAGGGTACTCCTAATTTGGCCGGTTTTCAATAAATCGCCAATTTGGTCGATAAATTTTCGCCTAGGACGTCCCTTTCCGACTCTGCCATTCACTTCTGCAACATAAATTTTCTTTGTCACTCTTTCCTCATTCATTCTTTCCACATGACCAAACCACCGAAGCATTCCTTTCTTAATCCTGGTCACAACATCATCTTGCAAACCACACTCTTCTCTTATTACACAATTTCTTAACCTGTCGTTCAGATTCAGCCCTAACATACTCCTTAACGACCGCATTTCTACTGCGTTGATTCTACTCTCGTGCTTCTTCTGCCACACCCAACTTTCACTACCATACGTTAAAGTAGGGACCAACACAGCATTGTGAATTGCCATACGTGCCTTTTTTGACACATTTTGACTCTTCACAATAGAGTGCAGGGCCCCATTTACTCTATTTCCCGCATTCACTCGTCGTTCTATATCCTTATCATATATCCCATCCCTGCTAAATAGTATCATATAATATTATATGATAATAATATACATAATAATATGAAAAAAATATAATGATATCGATATAGGACTGGTTTCAATAATAATTATGTAACTAGAACCTGATTAAGTTGTAATCGTTATCAATCTAGCATTACTTTATTGTTTCTAATAAATCAACCGAAGAGTAATAAATAATATAGTAAAATATAATGGCATTCTTGTTAAAAAATATTTCTTTCATGAAAGATCACCTTGTAATGGGAAGTTTGTAGCGTGGACGGACCTTCCAAGTCGCACGCTCTTGTAAGTTTCGATTTAATTTTTAGCAGCAACTATTCTTAAATAAATAACATCTGCTTTCCACATTCCGTTCCGCCTCCTAACTTATTTCTCACATAGTATACCACATTGTTTATACGTACGGACTTACACCGGTCGCATCTGTATAATAACAATGTCGCATTGTTCGCGATAATAATGACCTTTTCAAAAGTAAACTGGAACTTCGTTTGTTCAATAAGTGTTTATATCTTTGTTAATATTACTAAAATACTTGTTAAAATAAAGCGGTGAACGGTTTCGTTCAACGAAATTGTAAAACTTTAAAGCGCAAGCAACGTTTGCTTTCGAAATAATCCGTAATCGCTTTTGTGTAAAATGAAAGACTATTGTTTCGTCTGCATTGATAACACTAATCCCAAAATTAAATGTAATAAAAAATTTATTTTATTTTTAGTAGATAATATTGTACAAAGTAATAAAGTTCGCGGGTAAAACATGCTTTAAAATATTATCTATTATTTTAGAATATTAAGGCTTACTAATAAGCTAATAACATAGTCTAACTACCTACTCTTCTTAGGCTGTACTAATAATATGGAGTATGAATAAATCCTCCTTAGAATTTCTGCGAATAGGGAAGAATAATCCTATCATTGCCTCATTTGGCAGCATATTAGTAAACATTGCTGGAGAATAAAGATTATTACTGAAAGGGTGGCTTTATAGTTTTAGTTATTTATTATATACAATTCATTATTAATACATAACATAAACACTACTAGAGGGGTAGGCAGAGACTACGGACTTCCATTTGGCACGATCCTGACATACTATAATATACTATATTATATACTAAGTATACATTGTATTTAGTAATTTATATGTATCATTATAAATCCCGCATTTGTTTTTATGAAGTAAAAACTATTCGAACAAAATTCCCAACAATATCATATAATTAAGTTGCTTTTTTGTAGGTTGGCCGAGGGAGGATAGAGACTAGTCGGTGTCCTTATAAATGTTAATTATCAAGCACTATTATATATATATATATTTTTTATATATATATATATATATATATATATATATATATATATATTATATATATATATTACGAACGCGTTTATACATTTAAAATTACAGCCTATATACGTCCCTCTGTTGGGCCTAGGCCTCCTCTGCTTTCTGAGACGGTTTTAGGGAAAGGAAATGTCCACCGCATTGCCCCAATATACGTGTTGCTGAATTTCACATGCCTTTGATTCTTTGAAATATTTTTCAAACATGCTGGTTCCCTCGTGCAAGTGCTCGGCAGTGAACGGAAACATCGTGAGGGCAGCATTTAAAATTGCAAATATCAATTTTATTGGTGCCGGCGGGGATCGAACCCTAGTAGCTCGCTACCACGGCACACATAAACTTAAAATATAGTATATTATATGTGTTTACTTCTTATTCATAACCCGCTAATATAACAGTTGTATCTACTTTTCCGCTACTTATAATATCTACGTTGATAGGGATATGAAATATGAAGATTTGTAATTAAAGTTACGTAATCTTTAATTACAAATCTTAATTGAAAGTTTTATTAAAATCAATTAGGTCCACTAATTTTAAGATCACTTTGCCGTGGTTGTCATAATATTAACTCATCATATTTAATTATTTGTAAGGAAATAAATAAGAATATAATTATCATACGCTTAAATTAGTTAACGTGATAGACTAATGATAATTTAGTAATACTTAGTGCATTGTTTATAAGTTATGCAATAAAGTGAAGTAACAGCATACTTGATTGAATATAGGCCTTTCGCATATCTGAGAGGGTCTTGAGGTTATGGGAGTAGAAAAAGAAAATAACATCTTAATGGACATCACATGTCCTCGATGTATTGTTAGCAACCGTAGTTGCTAATTACTTTGAGTTGTTATCAGGGGGACACTCTTTCATTTTCCTTTGACGCCTCCTAACGACATCCACGGGATGACAGAGGGTCATAGATACTCTTACGGAATCTATACATTGTGGACGTAAAATTGCGGGCACGATTTCATTGGTGCCGGTGGAATCGAACTCTGTTTATTTGCTATTATGTAAAATCATTACACACTATGAATATAAACAATTTTAAAACAATAATTTCAGAACTTGTAAGTAATATTTGTGCTTTGCAATTACGATGATGTACGGTGTTATAACTATAATAACGGTACTATATTATTTATAAATTACTAATTTACTGTTATAATATTATGTATATTACATCTAAGCGTCAATTAACACAATAATATGAAATTTATTAATGATAAAATAAATTAATATTCAATACATCAAATAAAATTTATTTACCTGAAATAAATAACCCTCGGGGTAAAGAAACTTAAATAATTTCACTTTCAATAGTCGCTGTCAAAGATAAATTTCACACCACAAACACCTTTCCGACCAATGGTCAAAGACAAACTGAACACTAAAGTGACAATAATAAATTGACAACTAAAGAAGACTCATTTATTTTCCATCTTTTACAACCAATCCAATGGTGCCGCTTAAGAATTAAGATTCAAGAAAATTTCGACCTTATTCACAGTTATTAGCGAACTAAAGCGATTATTTCAGCTTAGCAAGCGAGGTGAATGACTCAAAGGACCAGCCTACCTGAGTTCTTGTTAGAACAGGTATCCCGGTCAAACCGGGTTTCAATGCCTGTAGGTATTGGTAGGTCTTGGAATTAATTAGTTCTATTTATTGCCCGTGTTATTAATATTCCTCGAAGTTACTTTTGTGGTATGTGAATTCTCTAGAAAAACAGTAAATTCTGCTTCAATTTTTTTAAATAATACGTTTTATTATCAATGGTTTAGAATTTAGATTTTAATGCTAATGTTACGAAATTTAATATAATAGTTTCAAATTCATTATTGGACCACGTAGCTAACGGGAATTTAAATGTAGTTAGTAATTTTGCTTAAATTTATTAAGCAATAACAAATGCCGGCCCAAATTTGAACTTTCTATAACTACTAAATGTCGATCGTCAATTTACAGAGGGTAATTTCCTACGCGGGCCCCGTCTTTGCCCACGCAAACCCTAATATTTTAAATGAACTCCAAATAGTTCAGAACCTCTTCTGTCGTCGAGCTGCGAACGCACCGTGGTACTTCCGTAATGCCGACCTTCATCGGGACTTAGAGCTCCCAACAATTCAACAATTTTTTAAAACCTCTCTGAGAACTTCTTCAAAGCCTCAGAGTCGCACCCAAACCATTTAATTCGTGAGGCAGCTTCTTATGCAGCCCCACCCCCCTCTCGCTATCGTGTCCGCAGGCCGAGGAACTCTCTCTCGGACACGCCTAATAAACTGTCAAACGACCTGAACTGTCTCCTGGCGGCTCAGGCCAACTTTAATTAAATTAAATTATTGTAATAACTAACATTAATTTGCCTTCGTAGGCACTCCCTCAGCGGCACTTAGCCGCCTGCGCCCTCTTTTCCCAAAAGAGGGTCGCTCATGATAAGGCATAATACAGCTTAATCAGCCGGTTGCCTGTCCCCAAAGGCGGTTTTTAGAGGGTATCACTTAGGGTCCCCGGTAGGACAGTGAACCCCTCATAACCACGATAGACCGGCTATCGTGGTATGCGTAATGCATTTTCCGCCTCCCTACGTATAGGGTAGCCCTTTATTGCCTCTGTATTGTTTTGAATAGCAGTTTAATGCTGCTGTACTTCGTATGGTGAATGAAAAGAACCTAAAATCTGTCGGAATAAGTTATTCCATTTGCTTAAATAACTATAATATATAAAGTTGTAGAGCCACGCTGCAACTATATTATGTTTGTAGCCATAGAGTAATTAGACTAATAATTCTATGTTTGTAGCAATAGGTAGGTCAGTTCAACAAGGGCATGACCATGATCTTGCAGAAAGCATGCGTAAATAGCAACTGTGTTTCGTATGGTGAGTATAGAAATCCGGAGAACCTTTTTACTGAAAACGAGGTATTCTATCTTAGTCGATAGGGATGATAACGCATCTGCATTGAGGTCCTTAATTAAGGAGGAATGTAGATGTCTATGGGCTATAGTACCCACGTACCATCAGGTGGACTGTGTGCTCGTTTATTACTTTTATTTTAGAAAAAAAGTTGCCGTCATGACTCATTAAGAATATAGAGTCCATTTAAATAATACTAGTTTTTACCGATTTTATCGCGTATATTTAACTTTTTAAATATCCGACGTTTAGAGCACTACAGCACCCGTGGTCACGGGGGAGACAGATGTTCAACGTCTAAATGTCATAATTAACCGCGGCAATAATTAATTAAAAATTGGGCAAAAAGTAAAAGTAAAAATAGGTGCTGTAAAGTGCTCGAAACGTAAGGTATTTCAAAAGTATAATATACGCGATAAAATGCGTAAAAACTAGTATTATTTAAATGTGTAGTGTTCGCGTAAATATAAGAAATCATAATATAAAGTCCATCAAAAATATATAATTGCCAGTATATGTGCTAACGCAAAAGCACTTGCTCACCACGTAAGTTCCTTTCGCTGGTCTGGGTATTTTACGCATGGCGTTAATGAGTTGTTTATACCGTCATTTATCGCAAATGGAAAGAAAGAATTTAGGATAAGAACTTTTTGGCATTTACCATAGTTGCCTCTTACGAGATCCATGGGGCGAATATAGTAATGGATTATTTTACGCCGCCACCACACGGTAATGATAAAGTATATAATAGGTAATGTACCTGAGTTAATATGCATGAGACACAGGGTCAAGCGCTTACGTGGTAGTTGTAGAGCCACTCTGGCGCTACATTATGCTTGTAGCACAATTGGATCGGATCGACCGGGGAGTGACCACGTTCTCACAGAATACCAGCGTAAAATAACAGCTTAATGCTGCTGTGTGCTGAGACAAGTAAGACATAGTGTACAAAAGATATAAAACTCCGACTTCAGAGTCAAATTTTACTTTTTATCATATGTTTAATGTAGAAGTAATGTATAATGTGACGCTAACTAAATGGAAGAAATTGTGGTGAGCTTGCTTGTTCACAATTATCAGAGGGTAACGCGTAACATTAATACAAAAAGAAAATACTCTTAAATTGAGAAACTCTTCCTTTTTTTGTAATTGCCAAAAAACTTCATTAGTACCGCGATGATCGAACTCGATTTGTTCTACTGTGAAAATTTAAGAATAAAAGAGAATAATTTGTATTCAATATAGATTATAAGTTATTCTAATCAATACATCTAGAAGCTTCTAATAAGCTCAGCTGGTTATCTATATGAGAAAATTGAACCGTTCGTCTGTAAGATTGAAATAACAGGTTTATATACAGGTTGATTTTTTTTAACATTTAAAAAAATTGGGAGTACCAGGTGTACGGAATAGAAGCCTATGGCACTGATATTCTTCAATTTTTTTATTTTACATTAAAATATTATAAAATTGATCTGTCAATAAATACTAAAAAATTAAAATAAGCTTTTGGTACAAAAAAAATAACATAATTTTATGAACTAAAAAATAAATCAATTAAAAACTATCGAAATTAAAATAATACGTACCCAAGTCATAACATGTTAATTTAAAATAAAAACAATTACAAAATATCGATGTCATAGGCTTCTATTCCGTTCACCTGTTACACCTTATTTTTTCCAGACGGTAAAAAATCATCCACTATAGGATTCTGTTAAACTGCAGAGAACCTGTAGTTGCATGCTATAAAGCAGAGTTCCCCAAACTTTTTTGTGTCGTAGACCCCTTGCCATGTTTTTCCGTATTGGGTAGACCTCCTACTTACCTGATATTGATTTCCTGTAAATTTATAACTGTAGTGAAGTTTAATGTTAAAAACTTAAAAACACATGTTAATTTATACATTTATTAATTGAATTTAAATTAAAACTACTCAAAATAAAATTTTGTATCTGTTATGTAAAATATACGTAGCATTAAATAAACATAAAATAAACTATAAATAAAATAACATAAGCAATAAGTCAATATTTTTAGTGAGAAGGATGAACCTGATGCTTTAATAATAAATTATCAACATTTGGCGTCAATTTTGTAAGGGTTAATCTTAAATCTCCTCGGCTAATGATGCCCAGACTGTTTCTTTTTTTCGTTAGGAGATTGGTAACAGCGCTGAACCTCCTTTCCACTAGGTATGACGATGGAAAGGAAATTAAAAATTTCCTCGCAATATTCCATAATACGGGATAAGTAACGGGTATGTTGTTTTGCAGCCAGAATTGATATCCGTTTTTAAACTGAACCTTAAGTTCTTCGTTTGTACTTAGTTCAGTCAGTTCCTCTTGTATTATGACATTCGTTTCTTCTATGTCACCATATGGATTAATTATCCAAGGTGGTATTACCATAGTCAAAACATCCTCAAACCTAGATTCAAAATCTGAATAGAGGGCATTTAAATGTTACTTAAGTTGAAACGTCGTCTTCCTGGCAGCTTGTCTGTGACAAATTGGGGAACTGAGAAAATTCGCCCCGTCCAATATTTTGCTTCATTAGTTTAACTCTGGCAAGAAATGCTGATAAGATGGACTTTGTTTTAATGACATTTAAACTGTCGCCTTGTAATTGCAAATTAACCATATTAAATTTTGTAAACAAATCTGTTAAATAGGCGATGTCTGTTTTCCTCTTCATTAAATTTTCTTTTAAAATTTTATCTTTAGTATCCAGAAATTCTAAAATAGTCTCAAAAAGTGCAAAAAATCTTGTCAAACATAAGCTTTTCGACAGCCAGCGTACTTCAGTGTGAAGGAGTAATTGATGAAAGTGTTAGTCATTTTCTTCACACAACTGCGCAAATAACCGCGTATTCAACGCGTTGCTTCGGATTCGGTTTACTGCATCAATGACTAAATGAAGTGATTCATGCAATCTAATACTCAAATTTAAAACTAAATGTTGTCGATGGATGACGCAATGTATTTCTAACACACCTGACACATTTTGTTTTAAATAGCTTATAAATCCACGATAACGTCCAACCATGGCAGGTGCTCCATCTGTAGCTACTGAACCTATATTTGATAAAGGAATTGCTTTTTCAATGAAGTAATCCTTCAAAACATGAAATATTGATTCACCTTTAGTGTCGGTTATCAAAGTTCTTGCGAAGAGCAGTTCTTCGTAGATTTCTTGATTCGTAATAAAACGAACATATGCCAATAATAATGCTGCATTATCAGGTAAAGTTGACTCGTCCAGTTGTATAGAGAAATGGGTCGTTTGCAAATAATTACATAAGAAGCTTTCAATATCAGAACTCATTTCATCAATACGTCTTTCAACAGTATTGTTGCTTAAGGGAATTCTTTTAATGATAT